TGGACGACGACGACGATGCTTACGACGACAACGACGTCGACACGGTGATGATGATGACGATGGTGAAGATACCGATGATGACGACGATGATGACGAGGACGATGACGATGATGATGCTGATGATGATGCTGCTGATGATGACGATGACGATGATGACGATGACGATGACGATGATGATGCTTATGATGCTGATTATGATTATGATGATGACGATGATGATGATGATGATGATAGTGCTCATGTTGTAGATGATGGTGATGATGTTGTTTATGATGATGATGATGCCGATGATGTTGATGAAGATGCTGCTGCTGATGATGATACTGCTGGTAGGGATGCTGCTGGTCATGGTGAGGAGGATGATGACGATGGCGACGATGATGATGCTGATGATGCTGTTAAGTATGACGAGGATGATGAGGGGATGGTGATGATGATGCGTATGATGATGCTGATGATGATGCTGCTGATGATGATGCTGCTGCTGCTGATGATGATGATGATGATGAGGTCACCGATGATGATGATGCTGATGATTATTGCGATGATGATGATGATGATGTTGATGATGGTGATTATTATTGTGATGATGGTGCTGATGATGATGATGATGATGATGATGGTGACGGTGATGGTGATGGTGATGATGATGATGATGATGATGATGAGGATGCTGATGATGATGATGATGATGATGATGACGCTGATTCTGATGAAAGTGCTGCTGCTGCCGCTGTTGCTGCTGATGCTGCTGCTGATGATTCTGATGATGCTGACGATGACGATACTGATGATGACGATGCTGATGATGATGATGGTGATGATGATGATGCTGCTGCTGATGATGATGATGATGATAATAATGATGATGGTGATGATGATGATGATGATGATGAAGATGATGATGATGATGATGATGATGATGATGGTGATGGTGATGGTGATGATGACGATGATGCTGATGAGTATGATGATGATGATGATGATGATGATGATGATGATGATGATGGTGATGATGATGATGATGATGATGATGATGATGATGATGATGATGATGATGATTTTGTTGCTGCTGCTGCCGCTGCTGCTGCTGATGCTGCTGCTGATGGTGATGCTGATGATGATGACGTTTATGATGAATGATGTTGATTATCATGGTGATGACCTGGATGAGGATGGGGATAAGGATGAGGATGAGGGTGAGGGTTCGAAGGAGGATTAGGAGGAGGAGGAGGCAGGCACGAGGCACATCAACAAAGAACCGTTATGTGCGTTGGCTCATCTCGGCCTGCGAGGCTCGCTCTGCTTCTGACGGCTGGGTGAGCTTGGACGCAGTCATCTTGACCACTCCGTCAGTTTCGTCGTTGCCATTGGCGTGTCAACCGATGTCACTGAGAAGCTCTAGCGAGAAAGTGTCTTGGTGGGCGTTTAAGCTGTCACCTTCACATCCACGAGGTTTCCCTTCGCTTGGCCATGGCTCCAACTCCATCCGGAGCATATCTTCGGTTGGCAGGCTCAGGCGAAGAGTGAACCTGAACTATGGTGCTTTGCAACCTGAGTGTGTACGCGTGATGCCTTTGAATTGGCTGGCGGCAAGGTAGTCAAGGAACTCGGCAGCGGGGGAGGTGGGAGGCTGTAACTGGGACCTGGGGTATGGCGAGCTTTGTGCTTCTCAATGGGGAACGTGGCAATGGCCCTGATCTGCGTCGGAAGCAACTCGTGTCCTTACAATGACTCTGAGGAGCCTGCAGACAAGTTCCAGCTGAGGGTCCTCCACCAGACTGAAATGTTGGAGGCCATGCCAGGTCACAGCTGTACTGGAACTGAAACTTCGGCTGGCACGGCACACCTGCTGCTGTTTGGTAGGCTAGATTAAGTTCTCTCCCTTTTCTGCTAGTTTGAACTCGGGTTCCCATGGTGCAGCGTGCCGCAGGTTAGAGAGGCGATTATGTTCTGCTTCTAAAGAGTCCACTGGACTGCCCGGCCTTCAAGACTGGTGGGCTTCCAACTACGCGACGGCTGCCATAACGTGAGACGACTGCTCCCTCTTTGAGCCCACCCAACCCCTTTCACCATGGCTTCGCTGACCCACTGCTGCAAGGCTTTCTCATCCTCCAATCGTCCCTGGGGAATTTCCTTGTCCAAAGCTTCAAGGGGCTCCGAATCGAGGTCAGAGAAAAGCAGTTCCAAAGAAATCGACATCGGTTTCGTCTCTGGTAGCGCCTAGCAAGGTGGCCTGCACACAGGTGCGCACACTAGCAATCAGGGCGGTAAGCTCGGCGACCTGCTATAGATTTGCGGTGGAGAACAGTGGTCCTCCTAGGCCAGCTGACGCTCGTTAATCTGCTTGAAGCCCACACTCTCCCGATGTTGATGGTCTGATTCCTCAACCTCCTAAAAAACGTATCCGCATGCCGTCCAGACGCCGAGCCATTCATGCACGCGTGAGTCCCGCCTTCGCCGCCGACGCGCCCTAGGGCGTATGATTTTGCCTCTTGCCTACAGGTTGCAGCTGCTCTTGCTTTCGGCTGCCCTGGCTGGGGCCCACATGCTGGTCGGAGCCTTGGCGCGCCGCCCGGAGAGCCTGAGTGGCGTGCTGGTTCAAGTGCTGAGGATGCTGGGTGCGTCGTCCACGAGGTAGCCGCACATGCCTGATCCTTCGCAGCAGCAAGGGAGAATATCGACTTCCGTTGGGCCTGCCCAGCCCCTTGCTCAAACTACTCGTCCCTCTGGTCCAGGATGGTCTCCGAACGCTCCAGGGCTGCTGGGGTGCCTGACCTTCATATGGGCTGCGACAGGCAATGCCCGAAACAAAAAGACCCCTATACAGTCATCGATGGTTGGTTTGCTTTTTTTGGTGCAGATGGTGTGCTTGTCTGGGCCATCCACTTGTATTACAGCTCTGATCGGGAATTTGGTTTCGACCACTTCTGACGGGTGCACGTTGGAATCCCCTGTCATGAAATAGGCAGGCGTTGCATAGCATAGCTACGAGCTGCGCGACTGAGGCAAGGACGGGCTGGTTCTTTTCGTTGAGTCCCACGTTGTTGGCGAGGTGGACTGATGCTACACATAAGGGCTTACGGCCAGGAATGTCGAGAGACACAACACAAGAGGCAGGTGGGTAATCACATAATCGGGACCAGCACGAACACGCATCCCCATTAACTGACAGGTAACACCTTGTGGAGCTCACAATCGCGGGTGACAGAATTGCTGTCCATCTTTTGTCAACACGCCACTGCTTTTCGGGTCCAAGTTTGATTGCAGGACTCGGGTTTCCTGCAGCGGATGACGCCCATGTTTCGAACTGCCTTTGACATCAGAAACTTGAGGACACTAGCCAACCTGCTGCAATTAGGGGTAGCAGTGCCTAGAGTGTTACCCTAGCTGCCTGGGTCCAGCTGAGGCGGAAGATGTTCTGAAGCACTGGCATCGGCACGGCGCTGGGCCAAGTTGGCCTGCGCCTGGCTGGCCTCATCGCTGATGCCCGTGGGCTGGGCGGGTGCCTTGTTGGCGGCGGTCTGGGCTCTGGGGTCGTAGCTGTACTCTGGGGCCCTCTTGCTCCCGTGGTCGTGGTCGACGGCCATCTTATCTGCCAGTCCAAGTTCTGGTATATGGGCCTCGCATGCTGCACCTTGGGGCCGTCCACCTGGATCTTGCGGGTGCTGCGCCGTTGGCGCAGGAAGCGGTGCAGGCTGCTGAGCACGAGCGGCTCCACTCCGCATCAAGCCTCGGTTGGGTCCGCTCAGGCTCCCATTTGAGTCATGCGGGCGCACCTCCAGGACACCGACGGCCGACGAACTCCAGAGACGTCTTCCCCTTCCCCTGCCGGGCGCCGCCGAGCTCAGCTGCTGCCTCCGCAGCCGCTGCCCGGGCGGCTGCGGCATGCTGGGCCTCGAGCCGCTGCGCCTCGCCGTGCAGTTCGCCGTGGCCCTGCGCGGACTGCTCGTGCAGCTCCGAGGTCGTCTCGAGCTCGCCGTTCTTGGACTCGAGGCGTCGGCGCTGCCATTGGCTCTTGTCTGACATCGACTGGGTCTTGACATCAGCGCTCTTCTTGTCCAGGGCTGTAGTTCTATTGAAGTGCCGTGAGGTACTGCTTACATGTGGGCCGGAGTGTCTTCCAACAGACATTGTGTGTATTGATACACATAGGGGCGTCATCCTTGCCAACAGTATCATCTTCAGCACGACCGTCTTTGTGGGTTCACCGAAGGTGTAAAGGCGATGGTGGTAAGCTGACCGAGGCAGTCAGGCATTGGGAAAGGGCTGCCTTTCCACCTCGGCCTCGGGCCTCTGGAGACGGGGCTGAGAGTAAGCGCCGGCTCGAGCCGGAATTGGCACGGGGAGCAAGAGGATGACAACGATTCTGATGATGATGCTGATGTTGTTGTTGTTGTTGTTGCTGCTGCTGCTGCTGCTGCTGTTGTTGTTGTTGTTGTTGTTGTTGTTGTTGTTGTTGTTGTTGTTGATGATGATGATGATGATGATGATGAGGTGGACGAGGTGGACGAGGGATGGGGTATGAGGGATGATGATGCTGATGATTGCGATTCTGGTCTTGATGATCGGATGCTGGCGAGTTTGATGATGGTGGTGCTGATTATATTGCTTATGGGTGCGACTCATGGTGACGGGGGCGACGATGACGGCCACGACGACGATGTTGATGATCGTGGTGGTGGTGGTGGTGATTATGATGATGATGCTGATTATGACGACGATGGCGATGGCGATGGCGATGGCGATGGCGATGGCGATGACGAGAATGCTGCTGCTGATGATGACGATGGTGGTGGTGGTGGTGACGACGACGACGTCGACGTTGTTGGTAATCATGACGATGCTGATGCTGCTTTTTGAAAATCCTGATAGCTATGTTGATGCTGACCACAGTAGGGAGATCGGCCGACGACGCCGTGCAGCAGTGGTGCAGTCGCGTGAGCCTCACTGCAACGCCCCTGCACCTCCCCGCCCACCGCCCCCTCTTCTCTGGCGAGTCCTCCCGCATCGCGGAGCAGTCGCAGCTCGCCCAGCGGGCGCGCAAGGAGGACGCGGCGGAGGCTCGGCGTCAACTCGAGGATCGGGGCGTCGCCGCCGCCGCAGCCGCCGCCGCCGCCGTCGTCGTCGTCGTCGTCGTCGTCGTCGTCGTCGTCGTCGTCGTCGTCGTCGTCGCCGCCGTCGTCGTCGTTGTCGTCGTCGTCGTCGTCGTTGCCGCCGTCCTCCTACGCCCGCTTTGGCAGCGGAGGCGGCGGCTCGCCGCGGCATCGCGGCCGGCCTCCTCAGAGGGGCCGGCCTCCCCAGGATGCTCGGAAGGTCTCCAGCCTTCTGAGAGGGTCCCCAAGCCATCCCCGAAAACAGAGGCGGCTTCTCAGCAGGCCAGAGGGCTTCTGAGAAGCCCCGCCGCCTTCTGAGAAAGCCTGTTCCCCCTCACTTCCCCTCCCTGGCGTGCCGCCGAGTGGGGCCAGCTTGACGTCAGGACGCCCTAGGATTCCTCAGGATGCTTCAGACGCCCCGAGGTTTCATCCAGATTTTTCAAGGTTCCTCCGGCTTCCTCGGGGTTGCCCTGGATTCCAACGGATTCTTCAGGATTGCACACGGTTCGTCAGGGTTTCTCGATGTTCACCAGGGTCTTACGGATTCTGAAAGGTTCCTCAGGATCCCTGCGGGTTCCTCAGGAGAAGAAGGAGGCCGAGGACGAGGGGAAGTAAGAGAAAAAGGAGGAGGACGACGGCGAGAGCGGAGGGATAGTGAGAATGAGGAGGAATCGGAGGAATCGGAGGATGAGGAGGAGGAGGAGGAGGAGGAGGAGGAGGAGGAGGAGGAGGAGGAAGAGGAGGAGGAGGAGGAGGAGGAGGAGGAGGAGGAGGAGGAGGAGGAGGAGGAGAGGAGGAGGAGAGGAGGAGAGGAGGGAGGAGGAGGAGGAGGAGGAGGAGGAGGAGGAGGAGGAGGAGGAGGAGGAGGAGGAGGAGGAGGAGGAGGAGCAGGATGACGAGGGGGGGGATGTCCTGCCCGCCTCTTCCTTTTCTTTCCCCCCCCCCACGTAGCCGTTAGGGTGTTTGAAGCTCCTGGCATTGCCCCAGGAGCTTGACTTCGAGGCACCAGTTAGGCGCTCCTCCCTCCTCCTCCCTCCTTCCGGCTGCCAGACCAGCCCCGCCCCTGGCGCAGGCCACCTTGGCGTGCCAGAACCTGGTTCCCCACGGGCCCCCTCCTTTCCTCCGCCGAAGGCCTAAGTGGGGGGGGCTGCATGCGGTTCCCCCACCCGGGGCAGCGTTTCGTGGCCCCATGGGGAGCTCAGCCGATGGCCCCAGTGTGGGAGGGGGGGTCGCATGCGGTTCCCCCACCCGGGGCAGCGTTTCGTGTCCCCATGGGGAGCTCCACCGATGGCCCCAATGGGATGGGTCGCGTGCGGTTCCCCCACCCAGGGCAGCGTTTCGTGTCCCCATAGGGAGTTCCGCCGATGGCCCCAGTGGGGGGAGGGGGTGGCATGCGGTTCCCCCACCCAGGGCAGCGTTTCGTGTCCCCATAGGGAGCTCCGCCGATGGCCCCAGTGGTGGGGGGGTCGCATGCGGTTCCCCCGCCCCGGGCAGCGTTTCGTGTCCCCATGGGGAGCTCCACCGAAGGCCACAGTGGGGGTGCCCGCATGCGGTTCCCCCACCCAGGGCAGCGTTTCGTGGCCCCATAGGGAGCTCCACCGTAGGCCCCAGTGGGGGTGCCAGCATGCGGTTCCCCCAACCAGGGCAGCGTTTCGTGGCCCCATGGTGAGCTCCACCGTGTAGGCACCAGTGGGGGTGTCAGCATGCGGTTCCCCCGCCCAGGGCAGCGTTTCGTGGCCCCATAGGGAGCCCCACCGAAGGCCCCAGTGGGGGTGCCCGCATGCTCTCCCCCGCCCAGGGCAGCGCTTCGTGGCCCCATGGTGGGCTCCACCGAAGGCCCCCGTGGGGGTGTTCGCGTACGGTTCTGCACCCAGGGCAGCGTTTTGTTGCCCTATAGGAACCCCACCGAAGGCCCCAGAGGGGGTGTTCGCATGCGGTTCCCCCAACAGGGCAGCGTTTCGTGGCCCCATAGGGGGCTCCACCGATGGCCCAGCTGGGGGTGTTTGCGTGTGGTTCCCCCGCCCAGGGCAGCGTTTCGTGGCCCCATAGGGGGCTCCACCGAAGGCCCCAGTGTGTTGGTAAGCTGTTCTCCCACCCGGGGCAGCGTTCCGTGGCCCCAGAAGGGGGCTCCACCGAAGGTCACAGCTGGGGGTGTTCGCATGCGGTGCCCCCACCCAGGGCAGCGTTTCGTGGCCCCATAGGGAGGTCCACCGACGGCCCCAGTGGCTGCTCTCGCATGCGGTCCCCCCGCCCAGGGCAGTGTTTCGTGGCCCCATAGGGGGCCCCACCGAAGGCCACACTGGCGCAGTTCGCATGCGGTTTCCCCACCCAGGGCAGCGTTTCGTGGCCCCTTAGGGAGCTCCACCGAGGGCCCCAGTGGCGCAGTTCGCATGCGGTTCCCGTGCACAGGGCAGCGTTTCGTGGCCCCATAGGGGAGCTCCACCGAATGCCCCAGTGGCGCAGTTCGCATGCGGTTTCCCGCCCAGGACAGCGTTTCGTGGCCCCATAGGGCACTCCACCGAAGGCCCCAGTGGCGCAGTTCCCCCACCCAGGGCAGCGCTTCGTGGCCCCATGGGGAGCTCCACCGAAGGCCCCAGTGGCGCAGTTCGCATGCGGTTCCCGTGCCCAAGGCAGCGTTTCGTGGCCCCATAGGGAGCTCCACCGAAGGCCCGCCCCAGTGGCGCAGTTCGCATGCGGTTCCCGTGCCCAAGGCAGCGTTTCGTGGCCCCATAGGGAGCTCCACCGAAGGCCCGCCCCAGTGGCGCAGTTCGCATGCGGTTCCCGTAGCCAGGGCAGCGTTTCGTGGCCCCATAGGGAGCCCCACCGAACGCGGCACCCACAACGCGTTACGGACAATTGCTGATGGTTATGTCCTTCGCCAGGACATTTTGCATACAGGTGATATGTAATCTTGGTAGTCGTAATATTCGCAGAGGAAGTCGTGGTGGTAGTATTAGTATTGTTAGTCGTAGTAGTAGTAGTAGTAGTAGTAGTAGTAGTAGTAGTAGTAGTAGTAGTAGTAGTAGTAGTAGTAGTAGTAGTAGTAGTAGTAGTAGTAGTAGTAGTACGTAGTAGTAGTAGTAGTAGTAGTAGTAGTAGTAGTAGTAGTAGTAGTAGTACGTAGTAGTAGTAGTAGTAGTAGTAGTAGTAGTAGTAGTAGTAGTAGTAGTAGTAGTAGTCGTCGTAGTAATAGTCGTCGTAGTAATAGTCGTCGTAGTAGTAGTAGTAGTAGTAGTAGTAGTAGTAGTAGTAGTAGTAGT